GCCCGGAGAGGGGTTGCAGCCCCAGTTTTTTTGGGTGAGGTGATGCAAAAAAGCTCGGGTGTGCTGCAGCCCAGTGATGCCCAGTCAGGTCGATCAAAGACCGTGGGCAGGCTGTGATGCAGCCGCAGAATTTGGGGTGAGGCGGGAAGCAAAGCCCTGTGTGTGAAGCCTGTGGGAAAGCGACAGTTGCAAAGTAGATTGCCAAAAAACAGACTCGGAAGCCGAAAATCGTAAAGTTGGACCTTTTTTAAAACACTTCTAATAAGTTCTTTAAAGCGGGTCCAACTCTACGATTTTCGGTTTCCGGGTCTGGTTTTTGGCAATCTGTTGTGAACTGGTGGAATCCCTGCAGTTTCGTCGTGTGCGTCGAAGCTCGTGGTCTCGCGCGTTCACGCTCTAAAAGTGGCGGTTTTCGTGCAGCTTTTGCTTCGATGCATAACCGCTGTGTTATTTTGCCAAGAGTGGTGTTGTTCTTGTTGAAGTGTCAACCGACAGGTATGCCGTCGCTTAAAATTCGAATTCCATCCCGGCTCTCCAAGAAGATATTGTTAAATTGTCTGCCTCTAAATGGCTCGCACACATGGTGTACAGCCTCTGGGCCAAATTTAGAAATATCAAAATATGGTTTCACTTTTCCTGAAAGTTTCTGTATGCCAATCTAACTGCTCTATCGGTTGAAAAAAAGTCAGGCCTTGAGGCAGCGAGTACTGCTTTGGTTTTTTTGCTTGTCTCTTGGTTTTGCGTGTGTCGTTTTGTTGCCGTTCGACGTTCGTTAGAGAGGTGGACAATTTTGCATGTCGTTGGCACAGATTTTGCTGCTTGGGGTTGTCTTTGGTGCTTGCTGGCTGCAGAGTTCTCTTCTGCAAGTGTCATTTTTGCCATGCCCAGTTTTTGGCAATTTGCTTCTTCGGAACAAAAACAGTGCGTGTTGATCTGAGTATCAAAACTGGGCTTGAATTTGGCACTCGTGATTGTCTGGAGTTTCTAATTGTAAGCATTCTGGCCAAACTTTCAGTGCTGCTTGTTGCAGCACAGTCTTCGTGGGGCGACTAAAGTTTCGCCTATGCCTGCCGAACACAACAAGTGTTCAAAACTGCAGCACTGACGCACTTACAAGGCACAAAGGGGCTTTTGTCGAAGCTTCTATGACACGGACGAGGGCTTCTCAGTCAGTGACTGGCACGGAGATGCAGTCACTGTTTTTTTTCACTGCTTTTGCAGCGGTTCAGATGCTAACTTATAGAGCCAATTGCCAGACTCTCGCCTTTCAATGCCTCATATTTGCGTGCGAAAATCAGCTATGCATGCTATGCAATGAGCATTCAGGGATGTCCATGTCTTAGTAGAACGTGCGTTGCTTTTATAGTCCTTCTTAATAGTCTTAAGAGAAGGTGGTTCCCATTGCGGTGTTTCTCAGATTTGAGCCGTTTCCTTTTACTACGGTTGAGGCAGGGCTTGCAGGTCAACCCGAAGAAAACAGAAATCCGTGGAAATCACATCGACCGAACCTGTATATGAGTGTGCAAAAGACAAACTGCTGCTTCCAAACAGTAGGATCACACTGTAGCAGTTCTAGTATAACATTGTCATATACTACAACAACACTTCACAATACCATAAGAACACTGAAGCTCTTTTGTATTATAGTAAACACTGTAAACATACCATACTAGCGCCGTAGAATATGATGGTAGCACGAAAAACATTATACAATCACGCTGTAAAGGATTTAATTTAACCGCTAGCGCGCTGCCGCCTTGGCGAGGGCGCCGGGGCGGCCACAGCCATTTCAGTAGCGGTGGGGGATGGGGCAGTGGGGTAGACTGGGTCAGGAGATGGGGGGGCGGCAGGTGTTTACCGGTGTGGGGGGGTTTTGAGGTGTTGAGAACGTCCGGAGAGTCCATGGTCCAAAACAGCCCTCAAAGGGGGGCCCCAACTGGTTCTGACGCATGCATCAGCCGCTGGTGGACACCATTTTGGCTTTAAAACAACTGTAGCTGGCGCGCGATTCTTGCAAGGGTCGTGGGAGGGGGTAGGTGGGTTCCCTAGACTAGGATCTAAACACCTCAAGCCTCTGGCAGCGTCACGGATTGTGAACTGTTAGAAGAGCATTGCCGATTTCTATAGCTGCACTATTCGAACAATGTAGCATACTAAAATACCAACGCTGTCGTTATGGAACCACAAACAGAGACATACAACAACACTAAAATAGCACTGCAAATACAATGTGGAGAAATTTAACCCGCCCTTGAGAAGATTGCCTTATGCCCCAGGATCGCCAAGGCAAAGCAACCAAACAACACCTGCATGTGTAAGCACCATAAACCCTAAATCCTAACCTAACCCACTGTCGGGACAGAGCACAGGGATCTGTTTCCTCTTTTGGGCGGTCTGCTTCGTCGATCCCCGGAACGAGAAAGGTCTCTACCCCGGATGTTCTACAGAGCAACACCGGAGAGTCATGATGAGTTTTTTAGCTATGGTTGTTGTGACAATCACCACAACAACAACAGCATTGGTAATTCCAATATATTTGTTGCCGTTCTTGTCACACTGTCAAAGCTGTTTTGGAGCTTCTGAACTTTCTTTTGTTGGCCATGTCCATGGAAATGCCGAGGCAGAGCAGGGTCTAGGGATTAGAGTAGAGTATGTTTCCGCTTCAGGTATTTTTATTTCTGAGCACTGTTTCTTGAAGCTTCATGTATTCTACCTGTGCCACGTCGGACGAAAGCCATTTGATGGTTTGACAGGGGTTCCGCTGCAGTTCATGCATATGATTGCAGAGGAATGCAGACAACGCAAAGATATGTTTTGGCGTTTCAGCGTGGCGCAAGCTGTTCTTATGGATTCCGGCCATGACCCACTGGCGACGCCGCGTTCGGGCTGCCGTTGCAGTGCCTTTGACTTTTCTTGCTTACATTGCAGATGTAACGTTTGATTCTTTGCTGACTTTTGTCATTGTTTGTGCGCCTAAGGGCCTCAAGTTGCGTCAAGGCTCTGCCAAGAGCCCTAGACCTTCCCCCAGACCCTTAAAACCCCAGTGGAGATGGGTGGCAAAGCCTTTGCAAGCCCTACCCCAGGACATCAGGCGCTTTCGCAAAGAAACAAGTTGCACTAAAAGATTGCATTTAAGTATGCTGAGTGTACAAGCAAGGACATGAAAAGTCACGGGCGGAAAAACAGTCTTCGCTCAGTTTGAGGCTTTAGACCTTTTTGAGACGTGCGACCGAGGGTTGAGGGTTGAGGGTTGAGGGTTGAGGGTTGCGGGTTGAGGGTTGAGGGTTGCGGGTTGAGGGTTGAGGGTTGAGGGTTGCGGGTTGAGGGTTGAGGGTTGAGGGTTTAGGGGGATCCGTTTTGTTTTGTTTTATGTAACTTCTTTGTTTCTTTTGCAAAGGTGTGGCTCGGGCCTGTTCCCTTGCAAAGGTGTGGCTTGGCTTGGCTTGTCCCCTTGCAAAGGCCGTGGCTTGGTTTGGCTTGGCTCTGCTGGCTTGGCCTGGCCTGGCATGGCTTGGCTCGGCCTGGCCTGGCTCGTCTTGGGGAGGTTTAAGTTTAAGTCGTACGAACCCATCATGCAAGCATTGTGTTTGCAAGTGGGGTGGGCTGCGCCCCTCCCGCTTTTTTCAGGCTGCCACCCATTTCAAGCCGTACTGTCATTTTCAATCACATGATGCGAGCAAAGTGTTTGCAAAACCCATTTAAGCCGTACAGTCTTTTTTCAAACACATGATGAGGGCATTGTGTTTGCCATTGAGGGGGGGGGGACTGCGCCCCCCCGCCCCCGCGCCCCCCAACCCCCCCGCTCTTTTTAGACGCACAAAGCTTTGCAAGAACATTTTGTCTGAAACCCATCATGCGAGCATCGTGTTTGCAAATGGGGAGAGGGGGAATTTTAGCACCTACTTATTACACAGAGGTCTGGGACACCGACAAACTCATCGTCACCAACGAAGGGTTCTGGCACTGGCCAAACAACCTCCACTCTCACACCACATCTGCACAGCACGCTTGAAGTTTTCGTAGCACACAGAGTTTGAGCTATCGAGGAGGCACTATAGGCGCAGGTCAAAGACCAGGGCGTCGCCGCATACACTGGGTGGAGCAATGTGCCGACCTAACATGGCACGATCTCCGGTGCACTATACAGAAGCAGTGCTCACAGTCCCCAGCTTTCTTCATGCGTATTTAGTACTCCACAGCTTGGCTGCTAAACCCCCTCATTTGGAGTCGTCCTTCAGGGCTGCCAACGTGCAAGAAGACTTCACAGGATGCAGACTTCGTTGTACAAGGAGTATTTCGGAGTTGCATTAGGGCCCCACCCCCCCCTTCCCCCAACAAAAAGCAGAATAGACCTTCCACCAAATACCAGTGTGCAAACAACGGTCCCTCCTTGACCCTTTTTGTTAGCATCATTCTGCTGAGCCCAGACACACATATAGGTTGTTTTGTACTATTTTGCCGTGCGCGTCGAATTCTCATCGCTGAATTTTCGATAAGTTTTTGCCATGCCTACAGCAAAGCACCATGTTCATCAACGGCTGGTTCCGATATGTCATCGGACATCACTGTAAAGCCACACAGCTTGTTTGGCGTGGCTTTTCGGCTTGCAGATGCCAAGAGGGCTTCTTGCAGCTACCAGAGCCACTTGGCAAAAGCATGTGTTGGGCATTGTTGGGCTGATGCAGTTGATTTCTCAGTCGTGTTTTCATGTTTGGGCAGGATGGATGTGTTGACAGACAACCCTGATGTCGCTCGGCGCAAATCAGACATTCCAACAAGATTTCTACTTGAAGGCTGAGGCGGTTACATCGCAAAGTTTTTGTGGTTTGTGCCGTCGTTTGAACGCAGCGTGCCATGTTCCTTTCACCGGCTCTTCTGCATAAACCTTCGCAACACGTTTTCATTTTCTTGTGCTTGGGCATTTTTGCATGCAGGATTGTGAGAAATTCGAGCCAAATACCTTCAAGAAGGCTGTGGTCAGCATCATAATGACACAATGTATGTTCTCAGGCAGTGTCAAACTGCAGGAGAAGTGCAAGCATTGTGGTAGATCATGGACGGAGCACAAAGGCGTGATCTCGGAGGCTGACGCGCTTTGATTTTCATCGACATGCGTAGTCTCATGTCATCAATGCAAGGCTCACCTTCAGACGTTCCTGCAGCAGAAGCAGAAATCCCAAGAGGACAAAGACAAGAAGGAGGTCTGATGCCTGCAGGGGGCAGACATGGGCATCAAGCCGGTCTGGATTGGTGTGGGCTTGGAGTCTGTTATGGATTAGTTTGCATCTGCGCTTGCAAGGCTGAGGCTAAGCATGCTGCAGCCGCCAAAAAGCTGGCCAAGAAGCGGGCGAGCCAGGCGAAGATAAAACATGTACGAAAGTCAATTTTTCCAAGCATCATATTCCACCTCTCTGGTGACAGCAGGACCGAATGCCAGCAAGAAGGGTAGTAATTAGACGTGCAGCAGTAGTTGTAGACACAGGCGGTCGAAGACGACTGGCTTTTTGGCCAGGATGCAGCCAAGGATGGGGATGTAGAAAACTTCAAAATCCATTTAATTGCGCATCCAGAGCAGCCTGTTTCAAGGACGAGCCACCGAAGCTTGAAGACGACTCCGATGATGACTTGGGTTTCCGAATGTGCTTTGTCCTTGCATACAGGTCCTGCAACTCTTGGGCTCATGGTGCATTATGTCACATCCGTTGGGCAAAGTTTCGTTTGCTTTGCTGAGGTTTTCTGCTGCAGATTTCGTGAACTCAGATCCCGGCCCTCCAGAGCCTAACAGGCAGCTTAAGGCAGCATCGGCGTGAAAGGGATCCAGTGAAAGGTCCGCATCATGTCGAGTCTTTGGCCATGTTGTCGGAAGGTGGTCAACCTTATTGATTGGGGGGAGTGTGATGTTGCTCAGGACTGCCATCGGTTTTCTTTCAGCAGTATCAGTGATGTGAAGCTATATCGAGAGATGACTGCAATATCTTGAACATGTCAAGTACCTTCCCCGCCCATGGCATGTTCGGAATGAAGCGTTCTGGGGCGAAGGGTTGATGATCCGAATCATGGGCCCCGTGTGGTACCCTGGGAAGGAATTGCCCAAGGTTTTGTGATCACCCCCTTAACATAGCAGTATACGCCCAGGCTTCTCCATGCCGTTTCCATGCTGTCATCGGCGCTGCCAACTAGTTGCCGTGCCCCTGCTTTCTGTCGGCCTCTCTTCCCCGCTGCCACCCTGCAACTGCAGCGCCTTATGCCTTCGCCCGGGAAAAAGGCGCCCTTCAAAATGTTGCTCTTCAGGCCTCAGCGCCTTCACACAAGCTGACAGGACACATCTAGCATCCCAAAGCAGTTAAACCAAACACTTTTAAAGCTTTCAACCTTGAATCCTAAGACCGCTTAAACCCTCAAACGATCAAACCGGGAGCCCTCCAATCCTGGGCAATGTGTTCTAATCCCTGGACTTAAAGCCAAATAAAACTTGAAAGCCCTAAACCGTCTAAAGCTCTAAACCCTAAACTCCAGGCCTAAGGCTCTCGCTGTACATCCGGGTGTAGCCTGCCCTTCCAGCGGGCTCAAAATGAAAGGTCACGAGTACCGGGCGCATGAGCGCGCGGCCCTCCAGTCCCCCAAAGCCTGCTCAAGCAAAAGGCCGGCAGGCCCCAAACACGTTCTTTTTGTTTGAGGGTTCTCAAGATCATGGCTTAGGTAAGCCGCCCTTCGCTCCTCCCAGCCCCTTCCAGCCTACGAGCATTTTGCAGATCATAATTTGCTTGGCAGCTTCTTTCGTGCCACATGCGACTGGCAGCATACCATGGTCTGGCAGGAGCTTGCTGGAGCTGGTGAGGACAGAGTTTCCTTCGCGGGGTCGAAGTGTGAACATGAATCTTTCTCCAAACGGCACGAGGCACTCCGCAAACCTGATCAGGCGACCGGGAGCTCAGCAAGCACGATGGCACCTCCTGTGGAGGCTGCGAACATCCCTGAACGTCTGGAAGAGACGTTGCATTTCCGCAACTGTTCTGCTGTACTGCATGAGGCACGTCACACACCTCCGGATCCGCGTGGAGGAGGCTCGAGTTCAGAACTTTTGTGGCTTGTAGTAGCCAGAGTCTGTTGTAGAAATAGATTTGTGTTTCCAATGTGAGGTGAGATGAATTTTCAAGAGTCCTTCGGCCGAAGCCCCAACGACTCTCCTTGCGATTCTCGCAATGCCGGGCATGTGATGGCTGCAAAATGCTGAAAGCTTCGATTTAGGTTCGGCTCCCAACTTGGCGCCGGTTCCGCAGCCCGGAAACCAGGAGACTGGCCTAGCAGACCTCCTGGAGCATGAGTTGCTCAAGGAACAGCGCTACTCTCTGGCAGGATCTCCTCACAGAGATCCAGCATTTGAGGCAAATGCTTGCAGATGCGAACGAAGAAAAGGACATCCAGGCAAGTCGCCTTTGAACAGTCCTGCTTACTTCCTTTGTGCATCTTCCTGCTTTGCATTCGAAGGTTGCCATCGTCCGCGACGAAGTTCTTGAGAAGCAGCAGCAAATTCAAGAGCTGACTCGCCAAAAGAGTGAGACGGAGGTCGTCGCTTGTCCAGCGATCAATCCATGCCTGCAAACATGCAGAGAGGGGTCTCCTTCATGACCGGTGCAGGCATTGCTCCGAGAAGCTCGTCAGAAGATCGAAAACGATGCCTAGCCCTGAGACTTCAATCAAGCCTCGAGGTGCAGACATTTAAGCAGGACACACCCACGGCCCCACATCCTGGTTCTGCAATGCTTCTAGGCATCGCACACTGCAGATGCAGCGGTGCCTGAGCAGCTGGCAGAGGCGGCATGAGACGTTTGACTTTGTTCAAGTATGTTCGTAGTTAAAAGTGTGAGAGTAGTCGTGTGTTCAAAAGAGTTTCAAGTTATTATGATTCGAATGTCTAGTCAAATTTGGGACAGCGAAGCATGCCAAACGGATTGCTGTCTTGAATGTCAGCCTTTCACGGTTGCATGCTGTGAAGCGTTCTCTGCCTGACTATTTTTTTGCTTGTTGGTGATCCTTCTTGGTGAAGAGCGGAAGAGCGAGAGCTGCACACGAAGAAGAGGAGGCCGGTGCTCCACTGTTGGGTGGTGGTGGTGGTGGTGCGGCTGGCACCAGAATAATGCAGCCAAACAACAGGCAAGAGAGGAGGCAGGAGGCGGGGGAGTTCAAAGGGGGAAGGGCCGGATGGGGGAGGGGGGGGGTGGGGAAGGTCACCGGAGGAGGCCGCGGGGGGACGGCATCAAGGGGGGCAGGACCTCACGGGAAAAGGTGTGTGGTGTTCTGGTAGGCAGCTTTCTTTGATGGGGGAGCCGGGTACGCATTTTTCCTGTGTCACACCGACGAAGTTCGCGCAGATTCGCGCAGGGAGAGGGACCTCCCCCTCCTCAAGCTCGGCAGCAGAATGTTCTGCTAGCAAAGCCCCGGAGGCTGAAAGTTGGTTGGGAGGGGGGAGTGAGAAAAAGAGGGGGGGCAAGAAGGCGTGGGGGATGGATGCCAACAGAAAGGAGGCTAAAGGAGGCTTAACAAGGGGGACAACAAGAACAGCAACCATCGGAAAAGCGGCTGGATAGCGCGAGAAGGAGGGCGGGGGGTCGGCAATGGTGGGGGGAGAGAGCAGAGCAGAGCAGCGAGAGTCTGGGGCTTAGTGTTAAGGCTTAAGGCATAAGGCAGTTTGCGGGGTTTGGGGTGTTTCAGGGGGTTAGATTGAGCGCTTGGGGGTTCAAGGGTTCAGGTGTTTCAGATTTGAAGGTTTGGGGCTTGAGGGGCTTAAGGGGTCAAAGGATGATGTGGTGAATGTTGAGAGGTGTATTTGTCGGTGGTTTGTTTGCGGGCTTGGGGGTTGAAGGGCGTAAGTGTAGGGGTCAAGGGGGGGCGGGGGTAAGGGTGGGGTTAGAGGATGTCTGTTATTGGTGAGTGTATATAGGGTTCCTTTTTAGCATTGGTGAGTGTATATATTGGGTGTCCTTTTGGGGATACAAGAAATATAAACCCTTCTTCATGTGAAGATCGATGGCTGCGGCGTCCAAACAGAAGTTTTCACCGCATTTAGGGTTGCCCCCTTCCAAGGTTCTCGGCTCGAGTTGTTTTTTGCGCTTTCCTCCGAGAACTGGGTCTTTTGCATGTTCGACTTTGCTCCTACAGTGTCCGGTACTCTATTTCGTCAAGCTGTCTTTGGGTTCTTCCAGTATGCGACTTTCTTGTTTCTCATTGTGAAGTAGTCACCGTCTTACTGCATTGTTGCCATAGAAGGCGCGCTGTTTAAGTCCTTCTTTTTCACACGCCGCTGCTGTATTTTCTTTCATGGATGGCGAGCATGCTTCTGGTATACATGATGCTGGCTCTATGGGCTGGTATTATGATCCTGCCATGGCAATGGCAAGCAGGTCGGCCACTCAAATATCTGGTGGTGATGCAACTGTTGCAACAAGCAAGCAATGGCAGTACAGGGCATGTCTCTTGGAGATTATTGCAGACGCGTATGTTGGCACCAGCCAGTCCTGTCAGCACTATGTACAAGCCCTGGCCTCAGCTCTTACGGACAGCGAGCACGTCAGTGGATTATTTCACTTTGCCGAACAGGTGCTGGACAGAGACTTATACATGCGCTATCTGGCAACCATGTATAGGCACCACCCCGATGATGTCGCGAGCTTATGCCTTACTTGCCACGGGCTCAGTGGGGACAACGATTAATCACAAAGATGGTACTGGTACTACACACGCTTCCTGCTGCTTCAGGCGTCGTGCTGGTATAATGGGGCGACTTGATGGAAGTACATGGTGGACAACTATTGAGCAGCGGCAGGACCTTTGCAATTCAACTGCTTCACAGCTCGTCTGCACGGTACAGCTTTCGTTCTCTGCCATGGACTGTACACAACAGACTTATTGTATCAGTTGCTCAAAGCAAACAAGCGGTTGCTGTTGCAAAGCCCCTCATATAAGCAGAGCAACTGGCATTTGGTGTAACCTATCGTCCTGGTATGCATTATTTCCCATCTCTCAATCCCCATATACCTTGGAGCGCTATACCATGGCCAATCGCGGACGCAGTCCACTACCTCGCCATGGGTATCGCTCCTCACGTATGGATTCTTCCAGACGCCGTACCAGAAGCAGAGTTCCTCTGAGGCGCCGAGATCCTCAACCGGTGCGATCACCGTTACCCAGGCTATGTGGAGCACCAGGACGACGACCACTACTCCGGCATCGACCACAGAGGGCAGCCCGGCAAAGAACACCCTCACAGTCACCAACACCGGACGATGCTAGAGAACTGCACACAGGTGAGTATGGTGGATTCTTTCGCTGGCCTCGTAGCATACACTTCGACAACGACCCTAGCCCGGCCTCGATGGAAGCAGTTATGGTATCACCATCACAGTCACCATCACCGAGACACACATGTCCACTACGGCCTATTTCACCTTCTCCACGGCATCGACCCTGTGCTCATAACACAGCTCGCTCACCGACAACCTCTTCCTCCAGCAACAGCTCCTCGACCACTATCATTAGGGTTGTTGGATCAGTATCACGAGACCGTTCCCTGGAGCCGGCAGCTCCGGTGATTCTTCGAGAGGCGCGACAGCCCCCGCGAGAATGCGAGCTAGTGGCACCTGAGCCGGCGAAGAGGTCACCAGGTGGGATCAGACCTCATCGCATTCATCGTGTACGACCTCTGGAACGCAAGGAGCGAAGAAAACCTGATGGCTCTGCTGGCGCAGCCTCCAACCGCCAGAGCACTGCCTTAGTCGAACAGGAGGCGGAGGAGCGCCGCCTGGCCAGTATCTCTACGATGCTTACACACAGGAAGCAGCAGAAGGATGAGAAGAAGGCCAAGCAAGTGTCGGAAACAGAAGTACGCCCGGTCCCGAAGAAGACGGTGAAGAAGACCAGAGTGAAATCAAAAGCCAAGGCAAAGGAGCGCACTCGAGTGAAGGAGTTTCCCACGGGCACCATGCTGATCACCTCCAACAAGCCGAGGGGCTACAAGGAGTGTCGGGTCGTATCTCCGACTGAGGCCTACGCTTTGTCCCTACAGGAATTACAACAACAAGCTAAAGAACGACGACTCCGTCAACTACAGCGTCTTCAAGCTACCTCAGCGACAGAGGCCGAGACACCTCCTGATGAGAGACCACCCCGCCCTGTGGAAGCGGAGGAAGTCGTCCAGCAGGATGCGAACTTGGAAAACGGTGAGGCGCGGGATGGGGCGACTATCTCCGTTGAACCGGAAGCTACCATCCCGGATGTCGGTGTCGAAGAAAAGGTGGACGACGCTACAGCCCATAATCATGAGAACTCAGTCGAACGGGAGGCGGAAGCGGAAGTCGATGCTACAGCCCCAGATCAACCAGCATCCTCGGACAACCAGACCTCGGCCGATACCAACGCAGTATCGGATATAGCTGGGGAATCTGTACAAATGGATCTTTCTGCCCAGCCGGAAAAGTATACCGCACTTACAGTGCACTATGCATTGGCTGCCATACGCGCAAGGGTATTCGATGTGAACACAATTCCATGCTATTGCAGGACAGACGTCCAGTTCATGGCGGGTAACATCTACAGACGAAGTCCGTCCCACTATCACAGGTCCCGTGTGCTTCCGGAATGCGAGTATTTGCCACTTCACTGCGTATTGCACCAGGTAACGCTTCCGACATTATTGGATTCATCTCGACACACAGCGAGATTACATTATGGTCTGGACCCAAGCTCTTGCACCAACGACCATGTGCAGCCGCAGCCAGTATGTCGGATGATTGCAGTTGCTGACTCATATCATTATCATATCATGTGTGAGCGCGCCAATGCCGGTTCTCCCCTCGCAATATACCAGGCTCAGCAAACTGATCTTGACAGCCCGGTAGCCAGGACTGCTGCCTATACTTCTACCACCGTCCCTGCACAATGTCCCCCAAAAGAAGGGCGAACCACCCGGCGACCCCGCCATCGAAGCGAAGGAAGTCACGACTCAGTGAAGACGACATCTCAGATGACTCCTACGCAAGGATGGAAAGAGAAATCTTCGACAGCCCTTCGGAGACACCAGCGGAAGATGGCGACGCCACCTCCAGACACCACGTTGCAGGACGAGGGGCCGGCACCTCCACGGGGAGTAGAGCCTCAGCCGATATTCCCAAACCTTCCATGCCGACTCCCAGGCCCGAGACAGCCAGCATGGACTCCGGCATCAGCACGGGACGGGGAGCCTCAGCCGATATACCACAAGCCACGACTCCCTCTACACCGGCCAAAGCACCCTGGAATCCGCGACCAGTCACCTCGACCACTACGCCACGACCCTTCCTATCACGCGGTGGGCCACCCCCCCCAACAGGGGCGCCACCACTCTCGATTCCGGGTACAGTGGGCTTCGGAGTGGGCCACCCACCAATTGCGGATGTGGGGCAACGGCTGCAAACCTGGCACTTGGAGTTCAACGAGGGTCCGACTATATCCGTCGCCGGGCAACCGACACGCAGTTGGTTCTTCCATCTCAGGCAGGGGTTTGTGCACAATGTGGATGGAGCACTCACAGCGCATCACGACGTGGTATTGGAGCCGGTCAGAGTGGTTCGGGGAACATCGCTGCCAATGTCGACAACCTCGATGCCATCGCAGATCACGTCAGAGAGAACCCCGCCTCGTGCTGAGGACTAACAGAGCCACGAGGTGGCAGACGACCACTTTCAGAGCACTTGATCGGCTATGGGGAGTAAAAAGCAGATCGCATCCATGGGCCCGCTTCCGCTATAAAGCATGTACGAGGCGTATGAGACGTGGTTTCC